TCCCCTTCTTTCGATGCAAACGTAATGGATATGCAATCACATCCATGCAATCGGCTGCATATTTTTTTATTTAGATAGAATTGTATCTTTCAGAAGGTTATGATGAGATTAGTGCTTATGAAAGAAGAAAAGTGATTTAAGAAAACTTAAGGACTTCTAATATGATCTTGGTGGCCCTCAAGAAATTCATAAAACTACTTCTGGAAGGTTATAAATGCAATGAGGAAATAGGTGGGACTAAATTGAAAGTTGTCAATTTAATTCAATTAAAGAGAAATTGGTAAATATAAAGGAGAGAGAAAATTAGAGTGGTATAAATAAATTTTCCAAGGTGCTTTTCACCAAATAATCTTTATCAAAGGCAATCGACTTTCTAAGTTGGAACTTAAACAAGTATTCTTTTCATCATTCTTATACTTTTTATTGACAGTGCCTTGTGGAGGGCTCCAAGGGTATTCATTTATTTGTCTTTTTGCATAAATCTTGGATATAGGTGTGCATGATTGTTGCCATTCCTTCTAGAGAAGCCTAGACCATATTTTGCAACTTAGATATTCATAAATTGACTTGAAACAAGTTTAAAGTCCCTAAGAGGAGCTTGTTGGGAGGGAATTTAATGTTGGGATATGGTCTTTATTGGTAGAAAGTTCTGAAGGGTTCACTATTGAGTGAGCCTTTGGTGAGCTTATGGTGTTGTGATAATGTTACTTCAATTAGAAGACCCCAGACATGGTTAATTGTTGAGTAAACCACACGTTGGTTAAAGGTGTGTGGTAAGATTTTCTTTAACCTGAAGTCCGTCAAAGTCTCATTATCGAGTGAGCTTCAGGAGGCTAAAGGTGTATGATAAAATTTTCTTTAATTTGAAGTCCATCAGAAGTCTCATTATCGAGTTAGCTTCAGGAGGTCATATGGTGTTGGATAAGACCCTTTGTGAAAAGGTCTGGAGGAGTAGCTTACCATCGAGTGAGCATCAATAGGGCATTTTATGTGATGGTATGTTCCACATCAAGTACAATTCCTTAGGAGAGTGCATCATTTAGTAAATTCTATGAGGGTATGTAGTTTAATGTTAGTGTCCTTCCCTAGACAAAATCCTCAAGGGTATTTTACCACTGAATTAGTCCTTAGAGGGTGCTTAAAGATAAAAATAAGATTTTTTTTTTTAATTCATGTCATGAAGATTAAAGAGAAAAGCATTCCTTTACTCTTCGACAATTGTTACATTTGTTGTAAATTTCATCAACATCCATTATGTGGTCAAATATAGCAATTGAGTTCTCATTCCTCAATTTTACTTGGTAGATTATCGAAAGCAATTGCTATAAGTCTTTTTTTTCAAGTGCAAAAATTTATGAAGAAATGCCTCAATATTATCATTTTTAAGTAATTGTGTATAGTAGTAAAAAGGCTTGCAATTATGCAACATTTTTTTTTTTTGGTGAGGCAAAGCAAAAGTTTTAGGGTATTTAGAGTAATAAGCCTCAAAGATTAACCATTAAATTAATTTTAAAAAAATTAAAATAGTAATTAGCATACTCATATCAAATCAACATCATAAAAACTCAAAATAAAATCATAAAAAGTCATATAAGTTCTAAATAATAAGCATGAAGACTAAGTAATCAGTTGTTCTTGTTCTTTTCTTTATCAAACAAGTTAACATTGAGATATTTTTCTTATATTATTGATGGCGTAACTTTATTTTTATCCACAACAAATTATTTGTCATCCAATGGAAAACCATTGCTAATCAAGAGATTCTCATCATCCTTTAAAATTTTTTTCTCTAATATATATTTTTTTAATCTCTTATTATACAATATGTAAACCAATGATTATATCTTTATGATAATGAAAATATTTATTTTCTTAAGATGAACTTTGTTATACGTACTCCATTTGTGTTTACCCTTTGATGACAGGCATGTGAGACCTAACATTTTGACTGTTGATTTTTGTAATTCGGGAGAACAATCTAAAATTAATACACCACTTAAACTAATTTAAAAAATACTATGAGCATTTTCTCATGCATCTTTGCGCAGCTCTTGATTTACTGGTTTTGGATTTCTTAGGGATTGTTTGTTTAAATGCGTTAGGTTTAATTTTGATGCCTCAAATTGCGCATTGATGTACATCTTAGTTAAGTAAGGCGTATGCCTCATTATATTTGTGTTAAGCATATTGTCACCTCCCAAAAGAGCCCTTACGGGTGGTGGGCAGCCCAGGACTTAAATACTGCTTTTCGGCCCTACACCTAGCCGATGTGGGACTATTTGTCCGTGACATTCTCCTCCACCCAATCACGTGACGCCCTCCCACCGAGGGTCCCACTGGACCATGGAGAGTCCACACACCTGGCAGGCAGTAGTCTGCTCTGATACCACTTGTCACCGGGAGGTGACGAGTGACAACGTGAAATTCTTACTACTAAACCCAGGACTTAAATACTGCTTTTCGGCCCTGCACCTAGCCGATGTGGGACTATTTGACCGTGACAATATGCTTTGAAGCCATCTTTCTTGTGCCTGAGCTTATGGTTTGTCTAAAATTGTACTAGTTTAAATTTTGATTGTGCAATATAAAAAGTTAAGCTAACTTGAAAGGCCATTTTTCTTGTGCCTCAGCTTAAGGTGCATCTCAGATTGTGCAAGTTTAAATCATGATTTCACATTATAAAAAGCTAAGCTAACTCGAAAAGGCATTCATATTGTTTGGGGAATTTATTTTTTTGGTATTTATAAAAATTTGCGGAGCAATAGGACCACATTAAGAACTCACCCTTAAACTTTCATTGAGTTTTATCATGAACTAGATTATATTGAATTTTTGAAGTTTCCTTTAGACGGTGCATCTCAAATTGCACAAGCGAATAGATTTAAGTTACTATTTTCATAAAAAAATTGTAAAATTTGTACATAAATTTTTTTTTGAAGGACAACCAAACTTAGTTAAGAGATTGTTAGTGAACTTTAACACTATTTTGGAGCCGGACACTTGAATCAACCAAGTTCATCAAAGATGGTGTATAAAACATTCAATGATGGTAGCTTAGAAAGAAAATGCCATTTTATACACAAAACATTTGAGCTAAACCACAAAAGAAATTGCGTCAAACTTGATGTGACCAGAAATCTTCTGAAAAAAATTTTGTTTGAGAATAATAGTTTGAGTTTGATAGAGGAAGCACCAACCATAATCTATTCTAGGATGCTTCAAGCTACTATAAAATCAATGTCTTTTGTGCCTTCGCTCACTCTATCATTTGACATAATATGCTTGTTGATCGAAGGTGTTGATGATACTGCTAGAGGCTTGTATTTGAACTCAATTATATAAGTTTGTTGGACAAATGCTCTTTCCAAGACCATTTTGTAATTAATTCAATGCTGTGCTTGAGTTTCTTTCTTGATTTCAAATAAATTTTAATAATGTTTCACATAATTGAAAAGCCTGTAAATGGTATTTCTGGACAGTTCATTTGGATGAATTGAACCTAAAAATTTAGAGAGATTGTTTTATTAATTAGGGAACTCCTAGCTTGCAAGAGCATTCATCCCTCTGTTAGATTCTACGTAGTCGAACCATCTTTCCCACTTGGTCCTACTTGCTTAGTCTTTGACATTCGAATAACTTGCCCATTTGGTCTCTAATGCCATACCCGTCTTTGAATTGAGATTCCCATATGGCCATTTGCTTTATTTGCTTTTGTCTTTGTCCTTGCAAATTTTTTATTGTGGAAGTTTTTCTTTCAGGGCAGGTCCTAAGATGTTCTCCTTGTTTTTCACATAGAGAAGTTTGAAATTTTTGGAACTAAGACAAATATAATGACATCTTTCTTTCCCAGTTCATAGGAACACTTCCTGCACACACAATATGAAATCTTGAAGTCAAGTAAAATAGCTTGCTGCAGAAGTTGTCTACGACTGTCTTTTTTTAGTAGAAATTCATAAAATCAGAGAACAAAGTCATTTGTTCTGCATGTAGATTTATCAGGAGAGCAACTGGATATAGTTGTTTCGTCCCAGCATTTAGCTCTCAAAATCTAATTTCTAGCTTAATTGAGACTTTTGAGTTAAATATATGAGTTCACTCTGTCACCACCATAACATTACCGATTCTTTATGTTTCCTAAACTGCATCTTTTCTCTGAGTTCTTTCCAAGTTTAATTTTCTTTAGTAGTTTTGTATTGTTTCGTTCTTTTGCAGTTCTTGTTGAAACATTGTTAGAAACTTTTTTTGGATGTGCTTATAGAATATGAAAACAAGCTAAGATCGAAATGTTGAAAATATTGAACAAGCTGAAGCATTTCAAAGGGGGTCTTCACCATACTTTGTATTTTGTCTCCAACTAGAGCAGCCAGGTTGTATGTGGAGATAGACGAAAATTGTGATATTTACTTGCTTGAATATTAGATTCTCTTTAGATCTTTAGATCTCCAACTAGGCAATTGTCTCCTGGCTGCTCGCCATTTAGTTTCTTTTTTATTTATATGTGAATTAAAGTGACTCAATCTACATGTCTACATGTCACCCAAAAATTGTTGTAGAGGCTATGAAATGGATGCTGATATTTTATGAATGATGGCTTGTAATGATTCTGTCATGTGTAGCTTCACTTTTGATTTCCTACTCATTAATGATCTGAATATATAGCCTTACTTTTCTTTTCTTCTCTATTTACTGCTGCTTGCTTTGCTAGTCCATAATGCGGTTCATGTTTTGAAACCATGGTTTTAATTTCAGATGTATCTGTCTGTCATTGATTCTATTTTTCACCCACTTGTACTATTCTTGTTGGCTTGACTTGCTGCTAACTTTTTTGTGATGTAAATATTACCGTTCTCAGAATCTATTGAGTTCCTGAATTTGGGACTATAGACTCTACCCATGTAAATATTCGGGAGAGTGTTTTAATACTTTTTCTCTTTTCAAAATCATTATTTCAAATTCAGCGCATCTCCATATTGTAACTACTCACGTAAGCACCATTTCAGGTCGCCAAATCTTCAAATCCTTTCAGTAAAAAATTCACAAAGTTTGACTGATGCATCAATCTCCATTGTTGCATCTTACTGCTCTCTCATTAGAGAACTGGATATCAGCAACTGCTACGAGATATCCTACAAATCACTCGAAATGATTGGAAAAAACTGCCCCAATCTTATTATTCTGAAACGAAACCTACTAAACTGGCTCGACCCTTCTCAGCACACTGGCATAGTTCCAGAAGAATACCTAAGAGCTTGCCCTCAAGACGGCGATCAGGAAGCCGCTTCAATCGCACAGTTCATGCCTGGGCTGAAGCATCTCGAGCTCCGTTTTTCGAAGCTCTCTATCAAAGGTCTTGTTTGGATTACAGAACGGTGCCGAGATCTGGAACTACTCGACTTCTTTGGTTGCGCGAACTTGACGAGCCGGTCCCTGGAACTGGCTTCGGCCAAACTTGAGAATCTTAAAACCTTAGTTAAGCCCAACTTTTACATTCCCAGGTCTGTATTCCATGCGGAGAGATATGGGCATTGGAGATTGTATGATGAGAGGTTTCAGACCAATGTTTTCCAGATCTGATACTGTCAACTTTGCCTGCAGGTTTGCAGATTTATCTATTTTAAATGTTCTTTGTAAATAATGTAACTACTAAGAAGTTTCTGTTGCTCTCTGTAAGGTGTAGCATGCTTTCTTTACCCGCTGAAGTTGTAAAACACATTTACATTTGGTGAATGATGATGTTGGTGTGGTTTTTGCTGATGGCTTCTTTCTTCTTTCTTCTGTTCTGCGCAGATAACCTCCCAAAGTTTGTTGTGCTCTGTTCTTCAGAAACTATTTAGGAAAATGAAGAAGGTTGGATTGCCTATTCATATTGTAGATTTTAAACTACATTAGATTACATGCTCTTTTGTTGTGCTCTGTTATTCAGAAACTATTTAGGAAAATGAAGAAGGTTGGCTTGCCCATTTAAGGTATTGTAGATTTTAAACTACATTAGATTACATGCTCATTTTATGGACTATTTGTATGATTTAAAATGTCTTATATTTGTTTTGTCTTATAATGAAATATTATATGTCACATAAAAGTAAGATATTTCGATGCGAAATAATGTATTTAAAATTTTTGGGCCATAGAATACAACTTCAAGGGGCCAAATTGTTACTTAGAGCTGCCAAACAGGCCACAAAATAATTTTTTTCATAAATTATCTCAAATTTTTTCATCCTAGCCTGGGATCAGCATTCACAAAATTGTCATTTTAACGAGTACAATTCTTAATACCACGATCGAATTACTTTTAGTAAATAAAATTAATATGTTGACTTTATTTGACAATAGAGCCTTATAATCTTCACAAAGGATCCCCTCGTCAAGCAATGAGTCATCTATCCGGTTATGATGATTCACTCTCTGCTCGATAGTTTAGTCTCGTTCTGCCGACAGGAACTCCTCATCCAGGGAGAGTCGATAGCCAGACTAGAGAAACCGATCAATAAAGCCTAATCGACTGAGTTAATCTTGCCAACTTGAAGTTAATCAAGCTCAGTTACTTGGTAACACTGGCTAAGCTTAGCCGACCGATCGACCTCACTAAGACGAAGTCATACTAACCTAGTTGACTGACTTATAGGGTAGCCGGGCATTGGGCTCATATATGTAAAATATCTAGAATATTTTATGCAACTCTCATTAAAGCAAGTGCATAAATGTAATAACACTATATTGTATCCCCTATAAATAAATAAATCATTTTATGGGAAAGGGACAATAGACAAGATGTTTTATTAATCATAACTGTTCATTCCTCTCTCTCTCTCTTTTCTTATGCTCAATCCTTGGAGTGAGATTCATGGACAAATGAGGATTTAACATCCTAAAAGGTGCAATAAGCGTGGATCATGTCACAGATAAAAAGTAGAGTATCACACGAAGAAGAAGCCTATAA